CACATGCAGATATGTCTACGGTAAGTTTTTGTATACAAAAATTGTTTGCGAAGTCTTGTCGTAGACTTGAGGTATTCCTGTGATAAACATTCAGTTTTTGGGAAATTATTAGAAGGAATAATTAGTTTAGAAACGATACGACGCACAATTATAACGTAAGAATTCAGAACTGGCCTGATGTATGATTGGGAAAAAAGGAAGCGACTGGTGAACGTCTGTACGGTGTCTGCCATGTTTACACACGCGGAATATGCGCATGCGCAATGTCATCGCTACGAGCGGTAATGTATGAATTATTGTGGGTCCCACATTGTTTATTTTCCGATTTTTTCAATTTTTATTTAAATTGAAAACAGTCAGTTTTATTTTCTTTAGTTAAAGGAAAGTATTTGTTTTGTTACATATATTACGGGGAAAATAAGGCAAAGTTTGTTTTTATAGTGATTTTTACGTATATTGGGGCTTTAAAAGGAATAGATTTCTTGGTCATCCCATAATTCTTTGTAAGGTGCAAGATTCTAAGGAGATTCGTTTAATTGCAAACAACGCCAACAGCCGACATTTCATTACAATATTATTGTTTGATATATCAGGATCCGGGTGTAGTCTTCCCGTAGAACTGCAGGGAACTTGGACATACAAAAGAGGTCCATTGTCTGAAATTTTGTTTACGAATATCAGCGCAACAATTACGCTGAAGGACGGGAGCAACTTCGTCGCCAACTGCGAGAGACACGACACCGATCGTAACGGAGTTCATCGGGTGGCACTCAGGTACGTCAAAACGGAAGTAACTTCGGATTACTTCTAATTATTCAATGAACAACTGGATACTTTGTTCCGGAAGTCGGGCTTCGCCATGAATATCATTCCATACAAACTTTCGGTTTGACGGCACGTAGTTTTCTGTGTATGACATTTTTCTTGATGGTTGCTGATAGGATCATATTAATAATTCCTTTGTTCTCTCATGACAGGACTAATATCGATGAAGGCCATGATGGAGTTGTATGTCTGGTTCTAAACCCTTTGCATGGCGGAAAATTCCTCTCTCGAGTAGCCAATAGTAAGACTCGTACAACAATGTCCTATTTGAAACAATTTTCACATCATAATTATTCAGTGCCAGAATGTTTTAGCATATCCAGTACAAATAATTATAAATCGCAATTATCTCAACTGTTTCCAGCAGTGCTTTATGAATCTGTTGATTTGTAATAGATCAAGTACGTTATAAAATTAATGAGTGATTATTCTTAACATGTTTGTATAGTAGTACATTAAACAAAGACGGCATATAAATTTATTTCATTTAACTTCATTTTTTTTTCAGACGGTGACCGGTACTTGAATCAAGTGAAGACCATCTTCTTCATGGAACCAATTTATTTGTACGAAACCTGCGACCTGATCGACACACCACTAGAGGGCTTTGTCATGCAGCCTTCCGTTTAGATTCGGAGTTTGTAACCACCCCAGTTGTCCTTTGGATGTTTTATTAAATGATAATTTGATTTATTTCATTCAATGAGAATTTTAAGAAAGTGACTCAGGTTTATACCAAGCACTTGTATATCAATTTAATAAGATTATATATTTAGTACAAACGGCGCTTAGAAATTTGTGAACTATAATTTTCAATCGCTGTTTGTACTGAAGATACAAATCGTCCTTAATATATCTGTACCAAACTGACGATTCTCTTTGCGAACTTGCCTTTTTTATGTACAGAAAGAGATGACTTTGTAAATTGTTCATAAAATGGTTTCGTCATGACATATTCATTCGTTATGATATAGAAATATCACATATCTAGATTAATTGTTTACAGTTAACATAACGTATCTATTACTCGTATAAATTATCTTAAAGATGACAACTTTTAAAAGATCTAGGCAATAGTTTGGGACATGATAAAACCAACAAACGATAATTCAAAGAAACTTGTTTTCTTTTATTTTCACAATTATCAAATCGAAATATTTACTTGTTTACTATTTTATAAAAATAAAAAACACAAATAAGAATAGACAGATTTTGAAAAAATTGTTGTACTCCTATGTAACAATATTGTAAATGACTATCATTGGGAGAAAAGAAGACAAAAAGGAATAATTCAAATCTCAGAATGACTATCCAATTTTGCGGTGATAATTTTGGCGGTTCAGTTATACTGTATAATACATATTTGGATGGAAAGATGGTCTTATTCCGCAACAGTTGATTCTATAGAATAGGTAGGATTTCATTACAATGACAGCGTTTCGTGTAGCTTTATTTTGTAATCTGGGACAGAATGACCCGACATAAGAGGACGTCAGAAGAACGGTGGAATAGAAAAAGTATGTGTTGGCCACTTGACGGATGAATCAGTTTGTTAATGCAGGCATCTCTCACACTTGAGTTCCGCTTACACATCAGGGCTGTAAACTGGAGCCATCACTTAGTTCCAACCACTACTAGCTAAACAACAAGACTTATTTCGGTTCGTTAATCAAACTTGAGAAGTTTAAGCGTGAGTGTTTCTGATATATAACCTGATGACCGCCACGTGCAAGAATTCAGAACAAATGACCTAAAAGTCTAATTACATCACGTGATCCTTACTATACAAGTACTTTACTTACCTTGGTTCTGATATAGATTTTGTCTCTACCATAGAACCTGGAGTTTCTACTTAAAATTATGAAATCCACATGTCAGATATAAGTATGGTGTAACCCGCGGTTTACATGCCCGTATGTAGGTCAGCGTGTCCAACAATTTTTATTGATTTTTTAAAATTTGTAATGAAAGCGAAATCAGTCTTCACAATGATATTGCTTCCGACAATGATCGCTTGGACGTTTACTGCACGTGTGTCCCATTCATACAGAGTTATTGTCCTTTGTTGGTTTGACTCCTTTCCTGGTAAGCGTCGCTTTCGATATCATTTCTCAAATAGCGATCATGATTGTAACCCTCGAGAATCGAGGAGGGACTGTTTTATAAGTCAAGACATGTAAATGGTACTTAAATGATGTATAAATTGAAGATAATTTGTTTTAATTTTATTTTCATCAGACAATTTGAGGCTTTAACAACAGACTGTTTACTTTATAGAATCTTGCCGTATCCCAGAATCTTGCCGTATCCCTCTTGGTCTGGTGAATATTTCACGTTGACAATTGGAAGTGACAAGGTCAGTGACATATAAGATGTTTATCAGTAGTATTGACCATACATTTTGCTCAGCAAACGGCAAATACTATTTTACAGTTCATGGATTTGGAAATTCGAAATGGTAGCTTGTGTGGTTGTGCAGGTGACTGTTTTATCTATGTTTCAAACTTCAGCGTGCTTTGTAGAAAGGGTGACCGGTCCATTTTTCATCGGTGTACGTTAACAATACAAATAAGATTCTACCTTTCTATAATATCGATTCCAAACATTTTATGGTAAAATACTAAAATGGTAAAAATACTAAAATGTCAATTTCAGACATTTTTATAGTAAAATTCTAAAATGTTAATTCCAAACATTTTCATGATGAAAATTCTAAAATGTCAAAAAAAATTCTGGACACTGTCATGATAAAAATGTATTAACCTTTAACCACGAACTCTTGTATAGGTAAACTCATCATGTTTTCCTTCCTGTTCTCAGTCTTTTTATCTTGGTTTGTACTTAGAACGTGTTTCGTTTCGTCAGATTTTAGTGTTTTATAGCGAAAGAACGCTGTGGACAGGTATCTGGGATTCAAATCTTACACGGCATTCATAAAAAGGAAGTTTGCGATTGCAAACGTGTCCCTCGTCATCGATTGATTATGACGAACAGACACGCCAGCACACGAAAATGGTCACGTGATACACCAACATCGTTAATATATTTAATCAAATTAATGATAATTAGGAAATCCTTATGCTGAACGGACACAAATAATTAAAGCCAAACTAGGAGAGAGAAGTCAAAAACAGGGTCATTAGACAGTCAGTATAGAAATAACTGAAGTCAGGAAAGCTGAAATAGGGCCTCTGGAAAATCGCTGTCGATATAATTACATCCACATACATATCAGAAAAATCAAAATTGAACCGTTTGACTGTCATAGAAGAAATTGTTTTACATTCGTACAAGTAAGATAAGTCAGCATTTAACGGAAATTCACAGTGAAAATGTACAAACATTTATTCCGCACTTCATTCACGTCGAGTCAGATTACGGTGTATCAACTATAGGACAGGCATCATAGCATGGTCATGTTCCCGAAATGTTAAATTACATCGCAATCTTTATAGATTCAGAGTATACTCAGTCGTTACGGTATAATACTATACCCCAAGGACGTGAAATGACAAGTATTAATGTTAATGATACATATAAGGATATGTTATTACAATGGTAACAGAGATGGAGTGATCACGTGTATCTTAATATAGTAACACAGACGGAATGATCAAATGTGTCTTAATATAGTAACACAGACGGAATGATCAAATGTGTCTTAATATAGTAACACAGACGTAGTGATCAAACGTGTCTAAATAAAGTAACATAGACGTAGTGATCAAATGTATCTAAATATAGTAACCGGACGTAGTGATCAAATGTATCTAAATATAGTAACACAGACATAGTGATCAAATGCATCTAAATATAGTAACACAGACGGAGTGATCAAATGTCTCTTAATATAGTAACACAGACGGAGTGGTCACATGTCTCTAAATAGTAACACAGACGGAGTGATCACATGTCTCTAAATATAGTAACACAGACGTAGTGATCGAATGTGTCTTAATATAGTAACACATATGTAGTTACTATGGTAACACAGACGAAATGTTTTCTAACATAATATGTCGTTACCATGGTTATTTATATGTTTCTATGCTTGACGTGCTCGGTTATTTACATACAGACATGTGTCTGTATACGTCGTTTGACGAGAAAGTACACTTGTCATGAAACGCAGAGACTTCCCGGCATTTCGAAGACTTTATCAAAGGATTGTATTCTTAATCCGAATTCTCCGTTTTCTCAACTGTTTTCATATACCGTTCTCGATATTTATTGAACGTGTAATAATCGCTGAAATTTGATGACGTCACCGCCATCGGAAGTGCAATGAGTAGAATACCCGTCAATGCACACAAACAACCGATGCAATAGCCCTGAGCAGTGGTCGGGTAATAATCTCCGTATCCCACTGTTGTCATGGTCACTACTGCCCACCAGATGGAAACAAAAACATTTGGAAGTGTGACGTCAGTGTCTGTTCCCATTTCTGCCATGTAAAGAAGGAGAGCGAAGACAACCGCTACACAAGAGAACCCCACTGTGAGAAGAAACAGTTCTCTAGCACTGGACTTCAATGATAAAAGCAAGATCTTAAACCCGACATTGTTATTGAGCAGTCTGAAGATGCGTAACACTCTTAAACAATAGATTAACGTAATGATAAATAAGACCGGGTATATGCCTTCAACTGCAAATAATTCCCGCTGAAGCTCCATCCACAGCCCAATCCACTGAAACACCCAGGAAATCAACTCCACACAAGTCAGGAAGCTCCGAATAAATGCTAGCTTACTTGGTGCACAGAAAAATCGGACAAGCCAGTCGACCATGAAAATAACGTTACACGCGGTGTCTATGGCAACTACAGCGTAATGTGGACGTGTTATGTAGTACATGAGGGCAGTGTTTGACGTAACGCTATACGGGTAGGATTTCGTGGTATCAACAGGTACACGGAATGCTGGGACGGTCATCACCACAAAAAGGAATGTAGATAGAAGTATCGTCACACACATTATTCCGTACCATACCTAGAGAAGAAAAGAAATATAGATTTATTTAAGATATCTTTGGTATTTCCAGGGTAACCTTAACTTTAAAACTGTTTGAAATCAATACTTGTATGTGATGGTGAGATCATATGATAAACGGAACCTATGGTTTAATTATTAAAAAATGATTCCCCTTCATCCAAGAAGGCTTCGAACCAAATTTGGGCAAAATCCAATCATTCCTAAATGAGGAGTAGGAGTTTAAAGAATTTGCCCTATTTCCCCTATTGGGTTCCGTCTCTCTGGTGCCAAGACCCTAGAGTAGGGAGTAGGATACAATTTAAAGGCTTTGCTCTATTTCACCTCTATGGCCCTGCCCGTCTGGTCCCACGGTGCCAACCATTTATACAAAATTGATTTCTCTTCACCAAGAATTCTTCAGACCAAATTTCGGCAAAAGGATTTTAAAGAATTTTCTTGGGCCCCACCCCTCAGGCCCAAGAGGGCCTGGACACATCGTTTATATACAATTGCTCCCCTTCCCCCTAAGGACCCTTTTTAATTATATTTGATCAAAATCCACTCAGTCGTCAATGTCTAGCAGCGATTTAAAAGAACGTCGATGGATGGACGCACAACCGAAGGAAGACGGACGAAAGACAGACGCCCGTGGTTTGACATAAGCTCACTGCTACTTCGGAACAGGTAAGATAAGCAGGTGTCTTTGTTTCAATGTACTAATGTAGCTAAGGTCAAGAAGGTTAATTACAGCATACGATATGGACAATGAAGTCTTAAGACATACGATACAGACAATGAAGTCTTAAGACATACGATACAGACAATGAAGTGTCAATTAGGACACGATACAGACAATGAAGTGTCAATTAGAACATACGATATGGACAATGAAGTCTTAAGACATACGATACAGACAATGAAGTCTTAAGACATACGATACAGACAATAAAGTGTCAATTAGGACATACGGTACAGACAATGAAGTGTCAATCGATACAACATAAGTCTTAAGACATACGATACAGACAATACAGACAATGAAGTCTTAAGACATACGATACAGACAATGAAGTGTCAATTAGAACATACGATACAGACAATGAAGTCTTAGGACATACGATACAGACAATGAAGTGTCAATTAGAACATACGATACAGACAATGAAGTGTCAATTAGGACATACGATACAGACAATGAAGTGTCAATTAGGACACACGGTACTGACAATGAAGTGTCAATTAGAACATACGATACAGACAATGAAGTGTCAATTAGGACATACGGTACAGACAATGAAGTGTCAATTAGGACATACGATACAGACAATGAAGTGTCAATTAGAACATACGGTACAGACAAGGAAGTGTCAATTAGGACATACGATATATGATGAAGTATTGATTTGGGGATGTCATGTATATACTATACGTACGTAAACCGACGAATTTCATGTTTCGTTAGATTTAAGTTGTATTGCAGTAAAAGTCTCCAACTTCTTCTTTAACAATCATACACATATATATGCTAAGTACAAACCTGTGCTTATTTGTTTTTGTTTTTTTTTTTTGAAAAATTATCTGTGATGAATCATTTACGGTACAATTGATAAAAACGAGTGTTTACACTTGCTCTCACAATAGATAATGAATGCCCTTGAGCACTACTAGCTCAATCGTTAGAACTATCAGAAACCATTTCAGCTAGGATACATGCCACCTAGATTTAAATATTGATAGTTTGGTTGGAAACGTTGTACAGTATGTACTTATTGATGAATACAATAACAATACCACTGTGTTAAACAGATTCCGTATCTAACAAAAGACTGACGATAGCTATTTTACCTTTCCAGAATTTGTCGTATTATCAGTGAGAATTCTATATACATTAGATTTGGAACATCCGCTTTCAGATCGTTCTGGTAACTGTATAGTTCCGTTTGTTCGTAGACTTTCACATGGTATGTGACACAGTAGTTTATCAAGGGTTGCTACATCCTCCGCTGAACCGTAAAATGATCTCCAACAACATTTCTCAAGTTTGTATGTCGGAATTCCCCAAAACTCCAACTCTTTCTGAAATCTTTCCGCGCATATGTTTCCGGGAATGTGTAGACTTCCAGTTGCTAAATAGTCAAGCACTGCATCAAACATTGACGAGCTCCTGTTAAAGTAAAACTCGTCCCTGTCTTTATTGTAATATTTGGAACTTTCATTAAGTTGAGCTAATGGTGAATTAGTCTTTAATTCATAATCGTGGATGAAATCCTCTTCAACCACGAATATTGTCCCCCGTAAGTTCAGCGTAAAGTATTTCATTTCTTATGGAAATATACCTTGTCTGTAATGTAAATGGAATGATAAATAACAGTTGTTTAATCTTGATTGTCGATCGTCTACTGTCAGTGAGAACCGTAACAGTGTGAATGTGGCAACAATCTAGGTGATCTGGGTTAGGGCAACTTTCCAGATATCTGGCTTAGGACAGATCTCGCGAGATCCGGGTGAGAAAGCTGTCTGTGATCCGGATAAGAACTGTTCTTTTGTGATCCGGATGAGAACTGCGCTGGTGTGATCCGAATGAGGAGAGCTTGGGGAGGAAACTTTCACGTGAAACCTATAAGTACGCTTTCCGCGTAATCACAATGGGAACAATTCACAGGTGTAGCGAATTATATGAGACGTGTAGTCGACAGCATCTGTTTAGTCTAAATAAGAGACCAACAACTGGAGTCCGTAGAGATAACATCATCAGTATCCGCTGGCAATGTACATGATTCAATATTGATGTGATATCATATTACGCTAATTTCAAGCTGCCTAATGACCCACTAATGAACAATGACACTAGGTCACATCATTGACCCGAGTAACCCCACATCATTTACTGCTGAACGACGCAACATATACACTACTCAGGTCAACATGCTTAATATTGCTACCAGAACGATTTCCAGTCATTTATTCTTATGATCGATACATTAAAATCAAAGAAATTGTAGTGTGTTCATCTATCCACCACTTAACACTTAATTCCGTGTCCTTGAAATGTTTAATAATACTCCAAAGACTTAAGTTAACATGTAAGTTGTAGAGAGAAGTAGTACTGGATGCGGTAACAGAGTCCCTGGAGACACCTATACCCAGTCTAAACCGATGTTTACTCCGGCATGGTTATCAACACCGTCATCCAGATCATAATCGTCTTCGATTATAGTCACTGGGGATTTGTAATCATCCCATTGTGGTGCAGTTGTACAAGTGTGTACATGTTGCCTCTGTTCTAGATTTCTATTGTTCACCATCACAAAAGAACATACCATATGATTGAGAGAGAGTTTTTCATGTTAGATATTGGACAGAAACTTCAGTCTTTTAGGTACATATGTGTACCTGTCAATCTAGTCTAATTACTATACATCTGACCATACGATAATCTATCCGGAAACACTCTTTACATCACCACAATAAATCAAGCTAGTGACCCTCTCTATCTGTAACAGTGGTACATTCGCAGATGTCGCTATATGCTGGCAAAGGTAAAACAACCGATCATATTTCACCATTATCCATCACTCAATAACCCATTGATTTCTCCTTTTCGTAAATAAATCACTAATGTGGATTGATATAATGCCTGCAGTATAACAGATTTATGATAAACGTTTCTAATACTGACTACCACTGGTGGGCTTTGTTGGGTTCCCAATGAATGTAAGCCTAACAGGTCTCTGGGTAATGATAACTGGCGTAGTCCCGTGTCTTTAGGAGCAACACTTTTACAAAAAATAGTGTAACCCTATGAAGGTTATCTGCCCCTGAAAGGGAAATAATATCTATAACGGATATTGGGTCGATTAAATAAGTGTAATAATTAAGTATACAATTGTTTATTATAAATATGTTTTATGTTGTAAATATAAAACTGTATTTGATTGTGTATATTGGATGTTACAGATCAAAAGTGTTGTTATGTATCAGGTGTATGTTTATGATATGTGTAGTGAAACGTTAAAATGTTATCGAACAATGTAGTATCGATGGCGCAGCTTTCATTGTTAAATGTAGCAGGTGCTGTAAATACTGCATTAGTCAAAGCATAATTTGCTGACAAATGTTTACGTGACAATGTAATTTGTTTATATGGATAGCTCGAACCAGGATATCTGTCAACAAGTATGGCTAAATCGGAGGCCTTGTATTTTGATTAGACCCTATTGGCTTAGATTGTCTGGAATTAAATTTAAAATTGGAAATAATTTTACAGCCTTGGTCAATTCGGGTTATCCATCAAATTTTCAATCACGTAGGCTTTAGGGATAAATAGGAGCTAGTGAGTCCGCCCTTCATTTCGGTCACTGGACACCGTACAGACACAATAGAACGTTGTCGCTAGGCCTAGGGAGTTTTGGACACTTAGGAACCCACAAACTACTAAACAATCACAGGAGTATATTTAGATAAGGAACGCCAGGTAAATTGTGAGAGAGAACTTTTGTTGTAAATACCTTAGAAGATTAAAATTCGCCAGGAGGAAAGAAGCCGAGGACTTTCTTCTTTTGTTCTGTCCACCACACAGCAACGTGTGGCTTCTTTTGAACCGAGGGTCACGATAGTTCTTATTCTTAGTACAAAAATGTCATAATTCGCTATGAAACGTTTCACCAGATATTATGTATTTCGAATTATCAGTAACATACAGACCGATAATGTGAATCGTTTTCTTTTCCCAAGCCTTTACGTACTTCCTGTTCTATAAGCACGGCAGCATCGTCTACCCCACCGATGTTCTTATTAAAGGATTTCACTGGAACAGGCAAGCTGTCCTCGATCAGTAGTAGCGAAGGTCGAGAGGAGTCGGAGAGCCTTTTCCTCATTCCTTTCGTTCTTGTAGCTGGCACTTAAAACCTCTTGTCTCATTAAAACCATGTTCATCCGGGTCAACCAGAGTATTGATAGCTGCTAGCATGTTCCTGTGATATCGTTATGTGCCTGTAATATATACCCCTCACCAATTTCCAATATGTTCTTAGCAAGGAAAAAAATATCGCAGACAACATGATATCCTTTTCCTAGTAATAAATTACTACGTTGTAAACACTGCCTCGGTTACTTGACTGTCCAGGTGGTTTACACTGAAAACCTTTCAACAGGTAATAACACATATGAACGGAATAGGCGCCGCAGCTCTCGATAAGAACCCAAAATCTAACGCCAAATTTATTAATTTTGTTGGGATGTATTGCCAAATCGCAGCCCGCCCACGCGTCCCGACCAGTGTTTCATCAACGGACACGTCTTCACTTCTCGTTGTGGTAAACAGATGTTTTGAACAGTCGATTGGCAAGTTCTAGCAGAGATTTGAAGTATACGTCGGGCCTGAAAAAACTCAAACAAAACACGAAGGCATCTAGAGTTCGATAATATTTGCTGATATTTGACCCATGTCTTGAACGCACAATTTACGGCACCAAAAAATACTGTACCTACAACCAACTTGATGCTGTAGAACGTTAGTTCGAGACCGGTCAGGGAACAAGCAAGAAACACCTTCATCGTTTGTATTTCTATGTTAGAGATAAATGCATGACATGGTATATATAAGCTTCTTTAATTACATACATTTTACAATAAGTGTGATGGGTTGTTATGTAAAGTTGATTACATTTGCTTCGGGAAGCCCCATTATAGTTCCGTTATGAAAGTGTTTTGACCATGCATTTGTATGAAATCCAGATTCCTTTTCGTTAACTAAAAATAATATACATTAATGAAAAAATATGATTGCTGAGTACCCTATACATTATGCTTTAGGTAATGTATATTACGAATCCCTTCGTCTTCGGACGAGTGATATTTTGCGTTTTCCTTTTCTACAAAACATTTTTTAAAACTGCAATAGATCTACCTGTAATTCGCGGAGTTCCGTTTAGGTATTTTTTCGTTATTGGTGATATGGCAACAATTCAATGTAATGTTAACACCGTGCGCTTGTAAGTTTGATATAAATTCATGTCACCTATCGTGTCTTTGATCTTGGCATGTGCAACTTTCAGTCGTCGGTCACTGGGGAGACGAACTAGAAACTTAAAAAAACATTATGAAACACGTTTTTATTTTGGTATGAAATGTGAATTTAATTTCAGTCGATTTAATACAGAACACAGAAATGTGTCTCTGTTGATGGCTGAATGTTGTGTAACTTTGCCATCTGTACAGAACAAAAAGGAATTCTCAGGGGATAAACTATACCACATTAACCCGATATGTTTATGTATGAACGTGCAGCTATCGTATGGAAAAGCTGTGATCCGAGAAAGTGGCGTCCTGGAATCAATCCAAATAACTGCCATTCATATTGATAGGCACAGGTCAGGACTCTAAGGACTGACTAAAGCTGTTAGCTAAGATAAAGATATTTTTGTTTAATTCAATCACTAATCACAGGACAAAAGCATCGCTGCTGATGTGAGACTGGAACTGGTGAGCTACTCCCGCGCTGTAACGGTCCGTTTTCAATCATAGATCGTGGAGATGGAAAACAATGCAAATTTGGTATAAAGTGTGGATGTCATTGTCATTGGATACATCATGCGTATGTCCTTATATAGGGTAAGAAGACACCACGCCCATACACGTGTCTGGCAATCACAGGGTCATGCTTTGTTTTCTAACTGATGTAAGCAGCAAATTTCCTTAATAACGGCTAATGATATTTTCTCATCAATAGACTTGGCAAAAATGTTTATGTAGGCAAAACCAGAAATGGTCTATGAATGTTACCGAGGAGTGGATAGAAATGACCTACACCTTGGACGACAATATATAGGAAAACTGTAAAGCATCGAAAAGAATCGTATGTAACATGTTTCATCGCCTCTTGTTGAATGAAAATAAACAAAACCTTATCGTAGAGTTTATCGAACTCATTATCGAGATTTTGTGATATCATATAGTTTATCCAACTCACTGTAGAAAATTTGTGATAAAGCCGTTTTTATCGGACTCGTTATAGAAAATGTGTGATATAGCAGACTTTATCCGACTCTTTCTAAATAATTTGTGATATAACAGACTTTATCCGACTCGTTATTAAGGGTTTGTGATAAAGCAGACTTTATCCGACTCATTGTAAAGGGTTTGTGATATAGCAGACTTTATCCGACTCATTGTACAGGGTTGTGATATAAGTCTTTATCCGACTCATTGTTCAGGGTTTGTGATTTAAGTCTTTATCCGACTCATTGTTCAGGGTTTGTGATTTAAGTCTTTATCCGACTCATTGTAAAGGGTTTGTAATATAACAGACTTTATCCGAC